AAAATAACTACTTTGTTCTTTGTTGTATACAATATCTTGTTATCTGTCTTATACTGTCTGTACCGTACATACTCGCCTTGGCCGTACAGCAGATATATATATATATATATATATATATATATATGTGTGTGTGTGTGTGTGTTTGTGTGTGTTATTATTTTTTAAAGAAAAAATCCTGAAAATTTGAATTTTTATACTTGCGAATGAGACTTGGATTAATGAAATGTAATAAATGTTTTTGTTGTTGTTGTTGTAAGGCTTATGGACATAAATATCAAATGACTCAAAACATCATGATATGTTAAATCACAAATATAGGAAATATCCTAAGAAGCTGAAGTAATGAGATTAAAGTTCAGATTTCTATTTAATATTTTTTTTACTTTAATATGTTGTGTTTGTCTTGAGTTAGTTTTTAAATCTATACTGTCTAAATTTTTATGACTAAACCAGATTTGCCCCTTCACAATAAACATTGCATTACTCGTGGCCAGTCCTTATATTGGGTTAATGATTAAGTAATTATTTCTATTTTGATCAGATATTAGTAAATTGATGTTATTTTCATTATAAGTTAAGTAGTCATTGATATTATTCTTCATTTAATTCTGTAATATAAGTTACACTTTTTTCAATGAAAGGTTTAACATATCACTCTTGTGAATATATTTTTATCATGTATAGATTTCTTAATGAGGTTCCCTTAATAATATTTTTTTTTTATAGATGTTATTAAAAACCTTTAATCAAAAGTAAGCCATAAAATTATATAGATCAGAGCCAAACTAATTGAAAAAGTAGCTTTTAAGTTAACAAAACAATCATATATAAAAGTTTATTATAAAGAATTGAGTCATAAATCGTTACACCAGAGAACTAAACTTCTAATGTTTAGAAGATGTTAGATTTAGAGGTATAGCCAGTCCAGTTATTGTGGTATAAACAGTAGGCATGTTGATAGGTGAAAGTAACTTAAACAATGGTTTTGAGTAGTGCCCTTGAAAGAATTTCACCACCAATAAAAGCATATGATATTTTATTATCACTGATCTGTTTTACTTGAACATAGTTTTAAAACCAAAATAAATTCAGAAGAGCAAGTGATAACAAGATAATCAGATTTACTAGGGTATAACACATTGAAGAAATAACATTTGCACCAACAAGACCTTTAAATAAATAGAGCAGGATATTAAAATTAATAAAAGATATCTGACGTGTATTTAATATCATTATTATTAAGAACTTCTGTCAAAAGTAAGTTGACTTTGCTGATAAGAACTAAAAAGTAATGTGTAAATGAATTAAGTGAATATCTTATA